GGGTTGGCTTCTTGCACTGTACATACTCAGAGACTGCTGTTTATTTTACCTCACATAGGTCGAACCATAGTGAAAATACGTAAACACACGTGGAGGAAACCGGGAAGCCTGGCTTGCCGTCGCACGGGGAAGGTCGAGCAGAGACGAAAGAGCTGCGGGAGTCGCAAAAATGATTATTAAAAACGCATTTCAGAGAAGTATTTCTGTGTATGGTACCAATATTTGTGATTGTTATTATATTTGAATGTTAGTAGTGGCTGTAGAGCTTAACCCTGGGGGGCCGTGACCAGTGGGACTGCACTATAAACAGGAGCTCACCTGGTCCACATCCACACGCAGGGCTTTAATGTTCAGGCCTAAGAGTCCTGAGTGGAGAGTGGCTGCTTTCCTTCTCTTACTTACATCCCAGGGACTTTCCCTTTTCCCCCCTTTCATTGTTAGAACTGAATAAGAACATATGTGCTTCTGGCGCGATGTCACTTTAAGTCTAGTAGCTTTTGTTTGCTTCTCTTTATGTTAAGGTGAAACTTAAGATGTATCTGGTCACTTGGTGTCATTAGAGAAGATTAAAGGAGACGATCCAGTACCATTTGTGTATTTTACTCCACACCTGCGGGAATGTCAGAGGACCGAAGTTGCACAGCATTAACTCTTTAGACGATGTCTTTGCGTCCGGTCTCCTCATGTTGCTGCCTATTGCTTTACCTGGGGGTGAAGACACTTTAGCATGGCATAGCCACATATCTTGTGCATTCCATCTACTACTGTTATGTGCTGAAGCGGCGGTCCACCATGTAAAATGGTATTTTATAAATTGAAGCTTATTATATTTCCTTTTTTTTATGAAGGCATCGATGGAATGTTTGGACTGAAAGTGCAAGTTGTTATTGAGCAGATTTACCTCTTTTTCTTTCCTCCCAAAGACGAGTGGCATTACCCGTTTGTATTGTTACAGCCATTGACAGCACTTATTTGACTTAGTTGGGATGACGATGGTGGTTGGACTACTCTAAAGTGAAGAGGTGGTGTTGTACAGCGTTGCCGAGCGTATTTTCTTACTCTCCTTTTGCAAACTTCAAATGGTTGTCCCGAGGTGCTCTCTTTCTGCAAAACCCTCCTCTCTCTCCCCTGTCACATCATTCCTCAGACAACACGCTTTATCTTGGAATATTATCCGACTGATTTTTCAAAAGCAACCATGAAATGAACCTTGAAGTGCATCACTTGAGTTTGTTTTTTTGAAGCGCTCTTCTATCCGTTAGTGTTTATCAGTGCGGTTTTGTTCATGCCATCGATTACTTGACCATGACATGTATTAGGTTGCTTGACAGATAGAACCTCAGAAACATGTAAATACTTGAAAGATTTTTTTTTGTTTTTCAGAGATAAGTCCATCTCGTACAGATTTATGTATCAAACTGGAAAAAAAAAAGATGAATGTCTGCTGGATGGTGTTGCCGTAGAACTGCAGAGTGCACCGTACGTGCTCATTAATCAAAACCATGTCCTCTCCCCCCCCCGGAGTGACGACCACGAGACGACATCGACAACACAGCACTCCAATGAAATGCAATCAAACTGAAGTCGGTATGAATGTAATGTCTGTTTAGAAAAAAAAAAGGCTTCAGTCTAATATTATAAATATGTTAACAATGTATGTACATGCTTATTAACATGGCTTCAAAAGCTACCAAAAGACCCTGAGAAAAGGCACCTTTGTTGCAGCGAATGCATGTGAAGCGTTTGATGTGACGGTTCACTTTTCGGGGAGGCGGTAGTGTATCTAGCATTTACAGACAATGAGCTCCAAGCAGTGTTAATGGTTCTGATATTTGTGCTGTATAGCAAATTTGAATGAAAAAAAAAAAGTGAATTGTCATCTTTTTATTTGTATTCTATGTATTTGTTCAACGTGTTTTAATAAATCTTCTGGACAACAGTAACACACCGCGTGGTTGTCTTCTCCGCAGAACGAATGAAGAGGCGTGCATGTGAAGAACCAAGCTGCAGTCGAGGATTTACCTTGTTACCGCGTAACCTTGTCACAAACTGCATGAGCCAGCAGTGGTGTAAATGTGATTAGAGGCAGAGATAGAATCACTGGTGTAATCAGGGACACGAAGAGGAAACAGAGGCCATTAACAGAGCAGACAGACTACAGAGAAGACAAAGAAAGACAAAAAAATAAATAGTGGTGGCATAATCATTATGCCACCTCAACGCAAACTCACCTCTTGTTTCAGATATGTAACGTTAGCCGGCGCAACCTGTGCTCCAGGTTTTATGTTCTGCCGGCCCTGATGTACAGAGCTCCAGGTGTATTTACATATTTTTGTTCATAACTTTATTATGTTTTAATTTCAAGTCTTTGTTTTGTCTCCGAGACGTAATATCCCCCTGGGCACAGTAAAGTTAAATATGGATGATCTGAGGTAGCTGCTGTGTAGTTAAATAATTGACCCAATGAGAAATGAACAGGCAACAATAATAAGATGAAATACAAGTACTTTGGCCAACGTCTGACCCAAAGCAATAAACCAAACCCAAATTAAAAGGTAGTTAAGTAAATGTTTCTTTTCAAACCCCAGCATCTTTTAGGGATTGGGGGATACTTTCTCTGCTTTAATTACTATAGTTTTGCATCAGTAAAACTTGCAATTTCAGACCCTGTTTAAATATTTATTTTCAAGCTGGATACCAGAGTGTTTAATGTTCATTAGTACAGTGTAGGCCCATTTACAGACTTATAAAGCTACATATTAACACAACCGGGTTTCATAAAAAAAGTTTGTGCTGCTTTTACATTTATTCATTCATTATACTCAGACTTATATTCCATGTTCTCAGAGTTCTCAATTATTTTCTGAACAACAGGATGCAATAAATTATATGATTATAAATATAATACTTCATGTAGCATTATGTGTTGAATGAATGAAGAATGAACACACTGCATTCTCTTTTATTTTATTATATTGTGCTATGTGTTAATGTTTTGTGTTTTCATGACTTGTGGGGACATAAATCTGTTTACACAGTTACATTGTGGGGACTCACCTTCCTTATGGGGACAAAGTGCATGTCCCCACAATTTAAATCATTACTGTTTAGGGTGAAGACTTGGTTTAAGGTTAGGGTCTGGTTAGGTTTAGGTTTAGGTTAGGGTAAGGGTTAGGATTAGGATGGTAGTGGAATTATGGTTAGGGTAATGCTCCAGGAAATTAATGTAGGTCAATATAATATCTCCCAAAGTCATTAAAACACGACGTGTTGTTGTTTTTTTGTTAAAATTTTGTAAAAAGTAAAAATTAGATAAAAAATAAACCATACGCTGAAAACAAACATGGTCTCTAAAACTACAGGTAGTGGTTATTTTTTTGATACAAAATATTTGTCTTACGTGAATTATTATTTTGCATGAGCAAAGTTCAAATGTATTGCTAAAAATGATTTGGTGTATCACCTTCTCTTGTTAAATCTCTGCCATGTGTGAGAATTTCTTACAGCTGACTCCAGCACAGTGAGAACAGTCAACTTCAATCCCACACGGAAGTGCTGCGAGACAGCATTGCTCCTAATTCCTTTTGTCCAGCCCACTTGTTCTGAACGACTCCCCTGATTGGTAGAAACACGGCCCCCTAGGCTTTCCATTGGCCGCACGCCTGACTTTGCCACTCTGCCATTGGCCAGCTGTATTTGTTAGCCCTCACCCTGCTTTGTGCTGCTGTCTGGGCAGCAGCAGGGGTCTGGCGAGTGGGAGGAGGGAGAAAACCAAAGAAAGGACAGAATGAGAATTGAGGGGTTGCGAGGGGGGAAAGGACCCATCTAAAAAAGAGAGGGGCAGAGAGGGGACATAGAGGGAGGAACACAAGCAGAGAGGCGTGAGAGGCAGAGAGAGAGAGAGAGAAAGAGAGAAGGGGGGGAGCAGAGAGGGATATCTCATCTCGAGCTGCTAGTGCAATCGGTGCAGGGGAGAAGTTGTGGGAAAGTAAACAGCACAGGAGAATTCCAATCTGTTTTCAGCCACTTGCAGCCCTCGAAGGAGACCATAAAGATGACTGGACCGGACCCGGTGGTGTGGTAGAAACTGAGTTTATGGGAGGCTACCAGGATTAAAGGGTCACCAGGGAGCGCCTGAAGCTTCTCGGAGGACATACTGCTGAAGCCGAGGAGGTGAGAGGCGTGTATATTTGTTGTCCCTTTAAACACTTTCCCTCTTTACTCCCTTCATTCTGTCCCTCCTCCGCCTCCCTCCTCACTCTCAGCTCTGCTAGCATGTTGCAAAGGCAGCAGCTTTGTCCACTGATGGAGTGCCGTTGGGGGTTGTGCTGGTCTGTGCCTCTCTGTCTCAGTCCGGCAGCTATAGGAGCAGCTGAGAGGACAAGGGGACATGGAGGAGGAGGAGAGGATGGGAATGGTTGATACCGGTGTGGCCCTTTTTTTTTTTTTTTCGGCAGAGCACACACCATCATGGACGATTACACCTGAGCCTGCCTCAGAGAGAGCCGGCGTGGCTACAGAGCGCGAGGCCTTGTTATGATAGCAGCAGTGCATGAGACAGACACCAGGAAGGATGAGTGAGAGATTGGCGGCTCACCCCAAGAGCCACACACACCTCTGGCAGGCTGTTTTTCTGCAGCACTGCACAGCTCTCCCACAGCTTCAGGCTATAAAACAAGAGATTCCCTGGCCCGTACAGTTGCTTCCCGGAGTACAATAGCCCCTCCCAGGATGGATTTCATGCTGCCTCTATGCTCTGAGGGGGAGGCTAAGGGACCTCTGACCAAGTCATTTGCATTTTAAGCTAGGGCCCCGTTTCTGCCTCACTTGCCGGATGTCCAAGTGCCCTTTTTTTTTGCTATAAAGAAACTCCATGGACTCACTGTATCTGATTTTGTTCCTCCTTACTCACAGTCTAGCACTTCCAACTGACATTAACAATCCATGCATGCATGGCCTGCCCACAGAGGCTTCCCTATCAATGGGAAGCCTTTCCCTTCTGCAACACATTCACCCAAGAAACCTTGCACTCGCACAGTCAAATATACACATGCAAGGCCGTGGTGCTCAAGTACACAATCAGCCATTTGATAGTGGTGACACGTCTGCCACATGTTTCGAAGGTGTACTGTATTACACACTGACTACATCCCTTTGGGATTGTTGAATAATTAACAAACAGGAGATGAATTCAGGGATGTTTATAAGTGGAGGCTTACGTGCACTATGTAGTCGTCCAAAGTATCCTCATACAATGGTTCATATGAATCTTAAGAAAGAGTTACTCCTCATTTTTTGCGCATTTTCCTACGAGATTCCAGCAGCTCGTGTGAATTTCCGCTCGTTGCATGCATACAGTCTTGTCAAAATGAACTTCTGTCTTCAAAGGAAACAACTTAGTTAGGTTTAGGCAACAAAAGCAGTTGATGAGGCTTAGGAAGAGATCATGGTTTGGGTTAAAATAACTACTGAAGCGGTGTTACTTAGGTACGGAAGTTACTTGACAGAATTCTCGTTTCACACGGGACACAAACTGTGGTCTCCTGAGTGAAGAACTGTTTTTTTTTGTTTGACCCAGCCACCTCAACTCCTAACCAGCCTGTGAGGGTTTTTGCGGTCTTTATACTTCCTGGTTCATGAGTACGTGCATTACAAACTAATTGATATCGTGAGATATCTTAAAATTACAGCGCTTTCATTTTCGTTGGAATAGCTAAGAACGCTGCGTGAGAACATGTGTCGTCACACTTGCATCACGTCAACCAAACTTTACCTTTTGTTTCAAGGCCAAAGCAACTCAACTACACTGGTTTGATGAATAATCATGACCTAATATCTTGAGCGTGAGCTAACACTGAATTGCAGGTCGTTGGCCAATATTTTAAAAAGCATTCAACTACACTTCCTGAATAATGACTGAACGCTTTCGTTCAGGAGTATATTTTCATAGGTGATACCTGATTTGACTGGCACGTCAAAGGAGCAGCCGTCCCTCTTTTGCACTGATGAAAGTGAAAGCAGGCCTCGCTATACCTGAGGCTGTACATCAGACAAACACAACGACTGATGCCAAAAGCAACAAGTGGCTGTGGGAACACAAGAGTTTAGTCGAAATATTACAGTTATTGAGCCATGAGCAAACACTTTGAAAGTAAAAGCTTTTTATTCAAAAGGGCAGACTTTTAATAAATAGGTTTTGTCACTCAATCTGTGCACTTGAACATATGAAAGGGGAATTCCACAGACACACATAAAGGTGACTACGGTTGTCATGGGGATAACGAAGCCTGTGAAACAGTTTTATTGCAGTTCTTTAGTTTCTGGAGGAGCCGTGTCAAGTCAGAGATTCTCTCTCGAAGAAAACGTGATGACATGTCGGCCTGGAGTTGCAACCTGGAAGTGTGGAGTCTGAAAGGCGTAGGCTTGTACCAGGCAGGGAGTGTTTAACTATTAGTTGCACCAGCGCAGCTGCTTTCAAAGTCGGACTTTGATTCAAAAATGTAGACAACTGCGACTTTTCAATATCGCCCGTCATCCACATCATACTTTATGGCTACATTTTTTTCAGCCTGTATTTGTTCACATTTGGGGAAACTGGCATCATTAAAAGACAAGTAAGCCACATCAGCAATTCCTATTTCCAAAGTGTCCTTGAGTATACACATCCACAACTATCATTGGAAAACGTGATGATTTTCAGGCAAGTTCTGTGGTAATAATGAGCGTCTTTTTTTCTGATTTCTAAATGATGCACATCTGAGAGAGTATCCTTGTTAAGTGTAAGTCACATTGGATCTAAAAGTATTATTTCTGTTTGATTGGGTTATGACTCTGAGAAGGAGTGAGATTTTTGATGCTAATTGCAGCAAGCAGTGTTTTACATTACCTGCTGCTCCACCTGCTGGCCGCACTGATAAGTGGGCCAAACTACAATAACTAACTTCTCCATCTTTTTAGACAGCATCCACCTGTCCATTTCACCTCTCTTTGATTCTCGTCTCTCCCTCTGCATCACACCTTGCAGTTTGAAAACCTCTGCATCAGGGGAAGTGTAGGATCCATTACTTTTAGAACTTGACCCACACTAGGAAATAAATGTCAGGATACATCGGGCCTCTGTTGTATTCATCTTGACTATTCCTTTTGTTTCAGTTTGTCTCTTGTGAATCCCCAAACTTGATGAAAGTTGAATTGCCGGAGTACCACTTTTAATGTGCAGAATGTGCACATAGATATCTATCTGAGTTTAAAGAGAGGAATTTGCACTTTGCTAACATTGGAAAAGTGAGGCGACTAACAAGGCACCAATCAAAAAGTTCCTGCAGTCCTTTGAGTAACTCATGACTTTCATTCATTTCTACTGGCTGTCAGGAGAGACGGCAGCAGCTATTAAACATATCCTCCCCTACATACGTTTCTGTCTCAGCCTTCAGCCAGTGATGGATTAGCTAATCATAGCAATAATGCAACAAGATGAGGTATTCTCATGAAAAGTAAAATACTGTATATTATAACGGTTTTGCACAATGTTGCAGTTGAAATTAAAGCGGTGGCGACTGAGTGGGATTGGTATTGGAAATCCAGAAACACTTCAACAGAAAGATGGTTGTTGAGCCGTTGGCATTGATCAACGACACAGTCAAGATTAAGATACAGCAGTCACTTTGTGTTCCAGGATTTATTAGCTATCTTTAAAGAGTAAAGTGGGTGGTACAGGTCTGAGCCACCCACTGCATATTTTTAATCATGCAAAAATGTGGGCAAGGGCCAGAGAGATGAAACCATACAAACCTCCGTATGATGAAAGCCCTGATTCAGCGTCGACAAAAATATATGACGGCTACAATAGCTTGGAAAATAGTGATATGGCATGTGACACTGGATGTGATGGTTTTACTGTTTACCAGGCCACAATCGAGACAAGAATTACACCCCGCATTCCCTCCGCCTCACTCCCTGCCGCTGGGAGACTACCTTGCCGGGAGGAGAGCGGGCGCCACTGTCGACACTCAGCTAGAGCAAACCGTAACGTTAGCGCTTTTGTCTCTGGAGCGTCTGACTGCTCTACTCCCGGCTGTAGTCTTCTAGAGGCGGGGAGCAGGGACCCGGGGCGACCGCTGGTTACCAGCCTGCTGTTCTGCTTATTTTCTGTAACCAGTGTAACGTTTGCAATGAAACATGGTGGAAGTAGCAAGCTAATGTTAGCTAGCTAACTAGCCATCCGCTAAATGACAAAAATGAACTTAATGCGTCATCTAAACACTCTTGTCACAGCGTAGGAAAGCACATTGCTATCCCCAGATAATCAGTGATTAACACTGATTCAACAGACGTTGTAATGTACTGATAGCTTAGTTTACAGGCCATTGAGTGGAGACAACAGACTTGTGCTGTGTTGTAGAGGCGAGGAGCAAGGTCTGATTAGAGGCCGTTAACTTTCATTCATTTCATGATGTAGATTAGTCACAAACAGTCGACTTTATCTCAGAATTGGCCTTGCAAGATTAGCGCTGATTTAGAATAGTGGATGGTGCTTTGAGCTATTTTCAACCATGAAATGTCAATTTCTTTTAATGAATTTGGTAAGAAATGTTAATATTAACACCAACATTGATGCATTTCATCAGTCCTATTGTTTAGTTTAAGTGTGCAATTACTCTTTAACTTGTCATATGCTGAAAAAATGTGTGTCAGATATGTCTAAGAAATGACTTTGTAGCCTACCGTCTAACCTGGACATAGTCATTTTTCTTGATGCATTGTCAGGATAACACATTCGGGACATTCTCATCTCTGCTCAGTGTTTGTACGTTGTACGCTGTGAGAACAAATGCCAGATAGGAGGAGGAGGTTACTCCCACTGTGTCCTTGACTAATGTGCCACCATCAGCACATCACTGCTGCTGTGGACTGACACTACTGGAGCTGCTCTCTACAGCAGAGGGCATATGAAGGGCCAGACAGGGCTCTCGAGTGAATAATATGTCTCTGAATGTCTTAACATTGGCAACTTGACGGCAAACCTGCGGGAAAGTATCTCAAATATGCACAGACAGCCTTCTAATGATGTTATGTTTACAGTGTGACATAATAGTCCACGTGACCTTTGGCACACAGTATTCAGAAATTCATTTCAAGTGAAATTTAAAATATTCATGACATTCATAATATATAATGCAATAGGCTTCGCTTCTTCTGTGTTCCAAAATATCTTTGGAGGGGCAACGATATGTTTAAGCGAAGCCATGAAATCCACAAATGCCTGTGAACAGCCTCCCACTCAGATTGCCTTTTGACAGCCAGAGAAAGATATATTCCGTCTGTTCTCAAGGAGCAGTTTGCGGTTCCTAAAGTGGCCGAGTCACATTGGTATACCTCTTGATAGGATGTCCTCAGGGAAGCTGAAGAACGAAGCAGCGCCTGGAGCAGAAACGTCTCCGCCTGGCACTGTTTGTTGCTCTCAATGGTCTGCTGGTCTCTCATTGTCTGCCGAGTGTTTTGTGTGCCATTCCCCGTGAAGGAAAAAAAGGCCTTAAGTAGCAGTGTTCTCAGTGACTTTCTGTTAGATTTTCCAATGCTGTTTATTCAGTCGCCACCAGCTGCTGCTCTCTGCCATTGTCTATTGATATACCCGACTGCCACTGACCAATGCGCTCGGTCAAACATAGGACTCTGTAAATGAGTGGCTAGACCTATACGCGGATCTACAAAATCCAGAGTGAAAGCTTTGAATACTGTTACTTGTTGGGAAACTCTTTTTTTTCTTCTTGTTCTTATTTTTGTCATTTCCTTTTATTTTTTAAAGCAGATTACACATCATTGCTGCTTTGTGAAATGATGTGAAATGCAAAAACAAGAACCGGAACATTTAAAACAAGACATAATAACATTTTTTTAGGGTTTTCAATCAGAGCGTAGCTGCAAATATGTGACCATGCGTGTCACGGATCACCCATGAAAGTAAACATACCTCACTTTCCTCTCTTCTTATAAAACACTCCTCCACTAATTAGCACATTTGGTACACAGCGGGAGAGTTTTCAGAGCTCTATGTGGGTCAGGAACAGGGTGTGTAGGAGTTGGTTTCATCTCTTTTCTGTGATGTATCTTATTTTCCTCTCAAGAATAGCTTTCACGCAGCTCCACCCTCGGGGCTCTTTATTTCTCTAAGCTGGAGTGCATTTGATGGCTTGTCCAAATGCCTCCCCTCAAATAAATTCGCTCAGAGTACCTTTCACTTTGATTCTGGGGAGGGTCATTGTAAGAGAAAACATTTGGGTTCTGGGTTTGTATTAGTGTGATCAAGCTGAACTTTCATTGGAGGCACCAGCTGTCTTGTTGATTGTAATAATGTGAAAAGATCTATAATATAAAGTTTACACTCTTATGTACTTTACTTTTTAATATCTTCTCATCAATACAACCAACAGAATGTAAGCTACCCTTTCATATTAGATTCACGTAGGCTACAATTATCAGATAATTTAGGCTCCCTGATGTAGATCTAAAGGTTTACTGTGGATATAAATGTTGAATAATATTTTGACTATTTCTGCAAATTTATTTGGCGACCATAATAAAATCTCCTGTGACCCAGTGTTTGGGAATGACTGATATAAAGAAAGACTTTTATCTGTGTGGAAGTACAGTGACAATAACTTTCAATAGAAATCTCACACTAATGGTTCCTATAAATGTTCATTAAAAGAGGATGCTGCTTTCTTCTGACAAAATAATCCTTTTTTTTCCCACCAAAGTTACATGATCTATACCATGGACGGCACAGCCATGACCCAAATGACCCGTGAGCTAATCAGTAGTGCGGTGACGAATGTAGAAACAATGCTTTCTGAGGCTGAGCACAAGGTTTTCCCTCCACAAAAGAGTCATTGTTGACTCGGCCAATGTGTGGGCCGACTGGGAAAAAATACGGTGTTTGTGGTACAGAGGAGGTGGCTGGGTCCAAAGGCTGCAGTGGCATATCAGACTATTTTAGAGCTGATTTCTAAAGAAAGCACACATGCTCGACATAACTTTTATTTTCCCGGTAATTCAAAGGAGCTGTATTTAACATTCTGAACATTAATATACCAGTAAACAACTATTTGCTATATTAAGTTATAGTGGAACGTGTACCTTAGCAGAGAATGAAGTTGCTCCCCTTATGTGTGTGTTATTATCAGAACTTCTCTATCCTTTGTTGACATAGCCGGGCCAGCCACGTCTGCTTTTAGTGCATGTCAGTGCATGTTACTAGCCTAACTGGCTAGCTCAAGGCTAGCTCACAAAGCTGCGGAAGTGTTGAGAACCGTTGAGAGGCAATGGAAATGCTCCCACTTTAGTATATTGCGCCTTAAAGGACCTAAAAGAAATTCAAAGCCACCGCAGTTCCTGAACCACAGAGCTAACAAACATGCCCAAATTCAGCTGTCAGCAAGCTGTAGAGTCAGCAAACAATGCATTGAGAGCTTTACCTGACATCATGACAGCCCTTGTATCCAGTTTGAGCAACAAATGCTGACAGTGAATTTACAGCCACCTCCGCTCCATGCTGTCATTCTCCCAAAGGAGCCCAACAAAAGTGCCCCATCAGGCCCAAGAATGGTCCAGCATTGGAAGCAGTTCGTTGCTGATCAAAATGCAAAGCAGATGCTGGGTTCATTGAGCGGTACACTAGCAGTCCGTATACGTCACCGAAAATCCCCATTTGTGCAATAATGAAACAATTGCTATGTGCAGCAATTTGATGCCTCGAGGGTATGTGTGTCTTGGAAAATGTCCATTTTACTTTTAAAATACGACAAATCTAATTTCCATGATTTCAGTTGACAATTAACGTACCCAGCTATTTGTTAAGGAAGTACAATGCGTCCAAAATCATTGCAAAACATGTGTTTGCACTTACTTGCCTGTGTTGCTTTTTCGTTCATTTTTCATCAACTCCTCAAATGTCTTATCTGCTGTCTTACCTGTTTCCTCATAATTGAGGTCTGTAATGTTAGGGCACATGTTTTCATCAGCGGGTGTGTGGATATCTTAATTACTCTGCCACTAAGCCTCGTCGGACTCTTTAATTCAACTAACAGTCTGTCTAACTACCATATGTCATGTTTGTTGTACTTGGAGTCTGTTTCTCTCTCTGTGTGTTTGTCAGACATTGGGAGTAGTTGTGCACATTACTTCAATTTCATTTCGTCAAACCCTTTGAAAAGCATTGCTCAATTTTTTGTGTTTTTATGCACTTGTAAGAACACACTATGTTGTGAGCACACTGGGTTAACAGTTCATTTCAGTTCAGTGTAACTTAATAATACACAGATTTATTTACTTAAAGATGTATGACATGCGGCTGTTTTTGATAGTTTTTTTTTGCAATTGCTTACACACTTTGGCTCATTGTGTCAACACACTACACACAAGCCAAATAAGACACAACCCTTGGAGATTAACATGTCATTGTTTCAAAGTGGGAACTCTGCAATCGAACCCTAACAATCCTTTTTTCATAAAGACATTTTTGCAGCAAAACGATGCACCATTTGAATAACATTTTCAAAGCAGCACACTGCAGTATACCTTTTTAATTTTCTCATAAAGGCTTTTGTGAAAGATTGTTCCAGTACAGTACATCTCCTCACTTTAAATGAACACAAAAATAGATAGAAAGGCTTCAGAAAAAAAACAGACATAGCTTAGGTTTTTACAAAATAAGAAAAGAAAAGTAGAATTACAGTACAGTAATCAGTACAATATGTTATTGTAACATCACTGAAACAGAAATGACAGTAAAATATCTAAAATAATAGTATTGTAAGGGAGAGCGTGTGTTTTTGGATCCCTCCGGGTCTGTCCACATCACCTCATCCTCCGTGGTCCCCTTGTTCTCCTCCTCATCGTCCTCGCTCTCTTCCTACTCTTCTTCTTGCTGTCACTGCTTCCATGTTTTGCTAAGTTCTCACAGAAGAGGTGAGCTTACCTGAGGTCTATTTGTAGCGTCAGGAAACAGACTGAACGCTGTTCAATTAGTATGAAAGTGTGTGTAAGCGTTTTGTTTTTGCATTTTGAATAGAAGTGTTTCTCCCAACGATTGCCAGAGATGTCATTCTTGAACGTGTGTGTACTGCAAGAAACAGCGTGTAGTGTTTTGCAAGAAGTGTTTTGCAGAATTGCGAACAAAGTGCAAAGCAGAAAATGTGTTTGCACTTTTGGAGCCTTTGTCTTCAGCTTGGTTACAAAAGTCAAGGTTTGATGCTTTTGTCTTAGCATTCACTTTTAGTGTGTAAGCAACCCTCCCCCTCAAAAAAAACAACAACGTGTAAGCAGCTTATGTTTATAAAGACCAGAGAACATTCCAGTCCTTCAGTCCATTTATCTTTGTTATGTCTTTATACAAATAATACACATTATATGAGGGTCAGTACTCATATTATGTGCAGCTTATTATCAGATGCAGACTGGTTACGACATGATTTTTTTCTGTGCTTTAGAGTTGTATTAGAGCAATGTATTCAAGTTTTATTTTTCTGTTGCTTACACACTGAAAGTGAATGCTTAAACAAAAGCATCAAACCATAGCACATTGAGGATTGAGCCCCTGGCCCACTGATTGTAATATTGTGTCTGTGGAGACAAACATGCTGTATTACAGTTTTTCTCTTTGAATGCAGATGAAAAATTAAACTATTTACACATTTCTCAAAACTTGAAGGTCATGTATCAACAAAAAGAACACAATTCCATTGTTTTCACTATACATTGAAATCAACCAGGAACTTTTCTGTACTAAAATATGAGTTGATTCTGTGGCTTCAGTCATCAGTCAAGTGTCACATTCAACTCAAAAAGTGGACATCTCATTTTGAATTGTGTCTCTTTTTCAGGGATCATGTCGACAGGGATATCTCACCAGCAACCGCCAAAGGAGGATGAAGAGGAGGAAGATGAGGAGCAAGGGGAAGAGTTCTCGTTTGAGGACAGTGAGGAGAAACTACTGGAGGGCAGGACAGGGATCACCTCTGACTCTCTTAGAGCCGTCCAGTTGTCAAAAAAGGAGGACAGAGAGACATCAGGCAGCATGTCACAAACAGGCGCAGACTGCCCACAACTTCTCAGAATGTCGCCTCCTGCTGGACAGGAGGGCATCCTCACCGAGGATGTAGCTCCAATTTCCACTGCAGGTAAGACTTTCTCTGAATGATAAGGTTATTGTTAAACTGGTGATGAATGTTGGTTGTTCTAGTGTGTACTGTACAGCTCTGGATCAGCTGATCAGACCGATAGCAATGTGATACACTTTGGTGGAAGGTGTGACCTTACTTCCTTTACTACAATAAATGGGGCAATACTGGTGTGCAGAACTTCCCTTAAGTCATTTTCTAAAACTGATTGAAAATAAATATTGATATTATTTGATCTAACTTAATGATATTAGCGTTACTGTAGTTCCTTAACGTTATTATGACTCAATATTGGTGTCAAAAGTAACCGAACCGTAACGTTATTCATTATTTAAGGTAAGGCTGTAGTATTAATGTTGTGTTATTGTACATATTTTGTCGAATATTGGATCATAATTACTGATGCACTGACCCGTAGTAGTAGGAGTATTTGCATGTTGAAAGCTGGTACATTAGACATTACTTTATATGTAATATAACTATATACTGCTGTTCTAGCTGGACAATGACACATATTATTAATATTAATAATATTTTATTTTGCATTATTTAGTTTTCCATTCGAATGTTTATATACTAAAGAAGTACCTCATAAGCTGATAAATACATGTAAATGTGAAGAAACTTACAATAAATATCTTTGAAATATAGTGGAATAGAAGTATAAGGTATAGCTGGAAATGACAACATGGACGTATAGTATAAACAGAATAGAATATATCTATTGCACACATATGTTGAACATTTACTTTGGCCTCTCTGGCACATTGGGAAGTACAGGGAGACTGTACTAATAAATGTGGACTTTGACAGTTTGACACCATCTGGCTTCAATTAACATTACTCCAACTTTTATTTATTTTTTTTTTAACAAGAGACAGGGGATAGTGGTTGAAGTTGCTGTACTGTAACCGAAACCCACACGCTTCATCCTCTAAACATGTACGCTGTCATCAAGCTGCTGCCTGCTGGGCAAATCACTGAACCACTCCCTAGTTCACTGAACAATAATCTGTCTTTGACAAGCTGCCTCTGAGATTTTATGCTTCTTCTTTAGTTAATGGATCTGATCAGTTTCCCATAGCCACATGCTGTGTGAGTGTCCGTAGCTGATATGTAGTTTTAATACCTCCTTAACGGGATTTAATTTGTGCCTCTGGGCGGACAGAGCAGAGTTAACATCCCCATTAATTGGATGAAGTTATGTAGATATAAGTATGATATATTTACTACCTGGCTATTGCTGCCAAACAGGCCCTGGTAATTACACGCCCAGATGAAAGAGATCTAGGTCATGGAGAAGTTCTGTTGGACAAAGTGAAGCGATTAATGCTTAAATAAAAAGCTTTTTTTACCAAGTCTATGTGTGGTCATCCATTGAGTGGGGCTGTGGTGATGCGTTGGGGAATTCTGGGCATTGCTAATAAAGTGTATTGAGGTCTGTTACTGTTATCTAATCGATGGCAGAGAGCAGCTGAGATTTAGATCTTTCCCTCACCAGATGACACAAGTTTACATGGTGCAATCTAAAGGAAATCATTTTGTTTAAAGGCAGTTTCCTTGAAAATACAACACAACCATGCAAAATCAACACCGTGGCTACCTTATCCCATCTGCTTAAGTATCTCAGACTCGGTGTCCTACGTGTAAGCAGGTGTGACTTAGTTTTTGACAGAAATGTTTTACAAGAAGTACGAGGGAAGAAGTAATTACAACACAAAGTCACAGTCTTTCAAGCTGTCTTTATGGAATTCTGACGAGGTTGCATTTGTCATTTTTGAAACATGTGCTTCCTTTGCTTTGGAATAGTTTGTCTCATGGTTGCTGTTTTCTTTTTTTTTGACAGATGTTCCAGTTAATGAGTCACCCAGCGGGTAAGTTGCCTTCGATTCCTATTACAGTATTGGAAAAAATGACTTAAGGGCGGTGGAGAAACTCAACATCACATCGCATCAGTGTTATGTCATTATGTCTGAGATTATGTCATGCTTGCACTCCATCCAAACACGCCACAGTGGGTACGAGATGCTCTGATGTTACGCCGCATCTATTTGTACAACATTTAGATGCCAGATGGCACGTCACACCCACGGTGACAAGTGGTAATGTCAAGTATAGCGGATACCATCCTCGGAGGAAAGAGCAGGATTGCAAAATGTATGATGATGCATCCAGTATAACACGATGAGCCGTGCTTATACTCTGTAATGCAGTGTCAAAATGAATTTGATTGAAAAAGTCAGTCACCCAATGAAAATTAATCATTTTTCTCATGTAACCCTAGTGATATGTACGCAAACAGTTGTTTTTATCTGCTTAACTTTTAAGTTAGCCGTCGCTAAGATTTCTGCTGTCCCCCCAATACAGTCAGTGGAGGTTAAATATAAAGTAGTTTTTGATGCTCAAAGCACTGAATAATTACATTCTCCTTCCAGAAATATATAATCTTTCTCACTGCAAACATTTTGGCTTTTAATTGCTAGATATAGACAGGTGTACCTAATAACATTGATGGCTGAGTTCAATTAAGTCTCCCTATCATCCTTTCCAGTGAGCTGGTGTTAATAATGCAGGGGAATATCAATGGGGACACCCAAATGAAACGCAGTCCTAATTAATGTAATTAATTGCACCTGTGCGTTTTTTGCTGTGTCATGTGAAAACGTCTTTCTTGATTCTTCATTGTGTTTGGTGGCCGCACACCTGGTACACCCACACAGGCGATTAGAGTTGTTTTGGCTGATGAGGCCTCGTCTCAGGACAGTGTGAGCGTGTTTGACTGTGTGAGTGGCAGCTCCCTCGTCTCTGGTTAGCTCTGCTGCACCAGTTAGCGTGGGACAAATTACACTTACATTACAATTACATCATTCGCATACCTCACAAAATTCCCAGCACAGGTCTACCTTCAACCTCAGCAGAGGTCTAATCAACCAGAATAAGTGAAAACACCTGTTTCTAAGAATTGGCATGTGACGTCACCCATTGATTCGTGGACTGCCATTTTGAAGCCTCGAGAAGTGATGTGGAGACGCCCCATATGGCTCTGGTAGGGTAGCGACCTGTCAATCACAAGGTAGCCGCGCCCTAAAAGCATACATTGCTTTCTGGTCTATTTGACTCTAAAAGGACCATAATTTACTAGATGAACATGTATTGAAGAAGAATTAAAACGAGCGATTTAGACCATATTCAATTAAAATTCAACGAGGTCCAGTTAGAGAGAATCTCCTCATGCAAAGGTCCGGAACATCACAATAATGTATGTAGTCAACAACTGACTGTTAAATCAAATAAAGAAAGTTCAATTGAATAATATCCCAACGATATTTATTGTCAGATTTCAAATAAAACTGGATGAATTATAAATTATAGATACTCTAATAATAAATAAATGTTCTTCTCTCATTTCAAGTAAGATGAGAACTGGATTCAAAAAAAAGCTTTTTAAAAAATCTGCATCTTAAAATAAAGTACTTCATTTTAGAAAAATGAACTGAACTGAATTGTCCTGCAGCTTTAAATTCAGTTCATTCAGGTGTGAAGTGAAAAGAGCCACGATATTATATTCTTCTCATCTTCTAAAGTGCAGTGTGTAGTGACTTTATCAGTGGTTATGAAACCACTTGTTTCAGCTCTATTCCTCTCTGTTAACATCATTGTTGGACAGTTAAACATTTTATGAACATTTTCTGATCATATTGGGCTCTTAGATTGTTTATTATCTGTGTTCATTTCGGATGTGAGTAAGGTCAAAGGATTTGTGATTTGTCTCGTAGTGAAGCTTCACATTACCGCTTTTAATAATCGTCACTGTCTCTGAACATGAGACTTACTGGTGTTGAACTGTCGATGGGAAGAATGAAGATATAAGAGACTGCACATTCTTGTTTAATTAAAGGTTCTGGTCTCGTTGTCCACTTTTCTCTTTTTGGAGAACATCATGTGAAATAACTTCCCTGATTCACGTACACGTTGGTTCTCTCACATTTAATAATTCTCAATTATTTGTCATTTTTCGTTCCGGGTCCAGATACAACAGCGTCTGGGTCTGGGTTCGGGTCCGGACCACGGCCCGCCTATTAGCGACCCCTGATTTAGACCATAAACTCATGTTTACTGTGGTGGAAATTAATCTTTTTAACCTCCCTGTGAGAAATAACCGTGATGAGAAAACTCTTAAAATATCCAAAATATATTTATTGAACAGACGCTTAGAATAATTCAGCTGAATGGATAGAGCTCTTTCTCCACAGATAGTTCGGAGGTCTAACAACAAAAGAATAGCTTAACAGAGTATATACGCACATTATCTTGTCCCCCCCCCCCACAGATGTCCTCTGCCTGCCGATGCATCCACCAAGGCCAAGGTCCTAGCCTTGGTATTGTTTTCATGGGAAGAGGGTTAGGTGGTGAGATCAGGATGACACTACAGCAAGCCAGACATGAAAATACCTTTTGATATGATAACATTTATTATTTGGGTGTAAATGAGTCCGGTTGGCCTCGTCTGCATATGTTCCGGTTTAAGCGATGCAAGTTATCTAAAATCTAAAAGAACAATATGATAAAATGCCACAACAATTACAATGTCGACTGAGGTAATAAATCGAGTGAGAAGTAGGGTCATTGTCTCATAGACTTCTATACAATAGAACTTATTTTTACAACCAGATGAGTCGCCCCCTGATGGCCAGTAGAAAGAATGCAAGTTTAAGACACTTCAGCATTGGCTTCACTTTTCAGAAGCGGAGGTTGCCGCCTGGTGCAAAGTCGAAGGAGAATACCTTGAAATTCTAAACCTTTTCACATAAAACTTAAACAAACTTAATGGAAACATTTCATTATTTATGGGTGAAATGACTGAAACTTGTGGAGTTTAGGAATGAGAGTCCTACATCAACTTATGGAAACATTAAAACTGATAATCATAAGCGTTATTATTATTCAGCTAGCGGATTTTGTATTTGGCTGTGTGGCAGAATAAAGCTCTGTCTGTCATGACAGTAGTATTGTACTGAAGGCCTTTCCTTTGCACTGGAGACTCTTTTTACAGCCGTCTGACGGCAGCAGGTGTCTGTTCCATCTGTAGTCTCTAACTGGAGTGATGTCGTGCACTGTTAAGTCACAATTATGCAGGGCAGATCCGCTGGTTACATTTTGTGCAACCAGCATCAGACTGTCAGTATAAGAGCCCCTCCGTGCTTCTGTGTACATCAAACGTGTTGTTTTGATGAACTATTCTTCAGCTTCTTGCACATCAACAGTTTCCCAAACTGACAGTGCGTCCTGACGGGGAGAACTCCTACAATGCTCTAATAATAATGTTTCTGATCCCACCCTGTGCCCAAGTACGAAGAGGGAGCCTGGCCACGGAATTAACAAAAGTCTGTTTGGCACGCTCCCGACACAACTTGGCAAGGCGCACTTTACTGCGATCTGGCCGCGCCACTGGGTTCACGAGCCCGCAGTGTCCTCTTGTGCGCACAGAGCAGCAGAAACCACTGACTTGTGGAGGTAAAGAGATAAAATAAAACACTCTGTGCAGAGATAGTACTGACAGCTGCTGATTCGGAGGACAGACCGGATGGACATCTGAAACATGAAGCATCGTGAATAACATGATGAATAAAACAACTCGCAGGCTGTTGTAATCATCCCGTTGTTTTTTTCCGTTCCTTCTTCTTTTGAGTTTTTCAGTGTTGACCGAATCCTGAGCAGCTGATTTGTTGTTGTAGTTATAGATACATTTTTTCTCTGTTTGAGAAAATGGACGTTTGGCGTGATAGCGTGTAAAAAGTGTTAATGCGTGAGTCTCACAGTCAATGCATGACAGTTGGCAGCGCTAATGATACATCTAACTTACTGATCAGAGGAAGTCTTATACAGTCAACATGCAGCGTTACACAGTGAACTGCAGTCAAGCTCCATGGAGCTGGCAGACACAGCTTCTTAGATTGCGAGAGGCCATCTTGCGATGGGATCACAACAGCCGTGACGCCAAATTGGGCTGAAGGCGTAAAGTTTTTTTGGTGTATTTCCGGTGCCCTTGCTAGACCACACCCACCTTTGAACTTTCCATTCAGTTTGATCTCTTGCGGTCTAGAAAGGGGACACTTGACCCCCAATTGACGCAGATTGGCCAATGAAAGTGTAGCATCGGCCAGCTCCGACCAGGGTCCAACAATTTATAAGCTAGTCATGGTTAAACATGATGTAATAGTGATAGTCATTAGCCGCAGAGGTTGGAAGGAAATATACGTTTCTAAAACCTGTGGAGCTAACATTAGCAGAGTAAGTTAGTGCATCATTACCTAGCGTTAGCACTTCTATGCTACGCTAGCTACAGAAGGAAAACTGAATGTCTACACATGCTGCGTTAGCTTTTTAATGAACAGTGAATAAAGACCTACCCGGCTTTACAGAAACATAGTTGTTCCTTCATTTCATGTTTGCTTCACGGCCTCAGCACAGTAAATGATAATGTGATAGTTTATTGATTAGTTGAAAGCAACTTTTCATTTTGCCTGCACCCGTCCACTGGGAGGTCCGCAGCCAAAGTCACCTACAGAACAGCAGCCCTGGAGCTGAGAGACAGAGGTAGTTCTTCCAAAGGCTCTGGATTTGAAAGACATTTAATGCCCTAAGAAGTATAAAACAAATGAAACAAATACTGAAATAAAGCTTATAAAGCTCACACCACCCTCACACAGGGGAAGCACATTAACATCCAAACTGTTTGCACCTCCAAATAGCGATAACCACACTAAAGTAATTCAGAGACAAGTGAAATTATAAATACTCTTTCTTTGCTTATTTAAAGTTATGAGATTTAACTAAATGTTTCAAAGCTAAAACAAACCATGAAGACATATTT